AAGAAGAAAGAAATGCATTTTTTTACACTTTAGATTATCTAAATAAAAACAAATAATCTACTAAATATAGTTATTTATTTTAAAGATGTAGTGTTGCGTTATTACATTCCAAAATCATTTTTCAAATTATATTTAGTTTGCGGGTCATGTTCATACGAGATATACCAGAATGTCATTCCTCCATGGCGGCCATATTGAATTCTTTCGGGTGGTCCCATATTTGAAAATATTTGGAATGTCAATACCTACATTGTTTTTATCACAAAGTACACAATTGTTCACGAAACGGCCGCATTATAATGGTTATAAGACCGTCTTCATTTAAAAAGTTTCATTCACAGTCATAATATGTTCCTGCATTAACCGGGGCGGTCGGGTAGCCTAGTGGTTAAAGCGTTCGCTCGTCACGCCGAAGACCCGGGTTCGATTCCCGACATAGGTACAATGTGTGAAGCCCATTTCTGGTGTCCCCCGCCGTGATATTGCTGGAATATTGCTAAAAGCGGCGTAAAACCATACTCACTCACTCACTCCTGCATAAACCCTTTTGATTTCTGTACTGCTGAATATTACATTCCTCCGTCAGATCGTATATGTGCGCCTTAAACAAAGTGAACTTCACTGGTATCACACGAAACAAAATACCGTGCGCATCTTTTCGAAATGCAACAATGCAGAAACAATACCCTTCTCAGAATCTGTAAAATCAATAGTCATGCCCAACATCACCGCCGGCACTGTCGTATCCGCCGTATCCCTAGCCTCTGAACATCCAGGGGTTGAAGTAGTTGTACCGTCTACCTAGACGTCACGGAAGGCGTTGAATCTTGCCCAGTTGAAGTATGTTGCCATGGTGTTGGTGACAACTAGGATGATGATAACGAGTAGATATATCAGAACATAATTCGTTGGGATTTGACATGCTACAAACACGAAATATGCAATCTGTCACCGCTGTGTGATAGTTATGAAAGTCTGCCTAGCGTCCGTGACAGGGAATGTGGAAGGCACTCGTTCTTCACATGTTGTGGAGTATATTCAGCTGCGTGCTTCTTAGACAAGCTTACTTAGTCAAAAACAAAGGATTTGATGTAAGGTATGGTCAACCCTGGTGTGTTTGTTTATTTAAAAATGCGACAAATGTAATAATACCGATTGACCATTTCACCTCTTAAGTAATAATATTTCTTTTGAAAACAGGATCGGGTGTTTTATTTAGTCGCCTTACATGACATGTGCTATAAAGAAAAGTTAACGTTATTACCAAAAAGGGTAAAAGATAAGAGGGCCAGGTTTACAAATATACTTCACTTACAAGAAGGAGACGTGGAACCATTCTTGTATCATTTTGAAATATACTATTGCATCACAATACAAAGGTCCAGGGGCTTCAGAGCCAATAAATGTGTATTAATCATTTACTGAGTTTTGGGAAAGCAGAAAGTAGCTTATCTATCTCGCATTTCGGTCAAGTTAAATGTTTGTTTGATTTAACGCCGTCTTGAGGAGTATTCCAGTTATATCAGCTTAAGGTGGAAGGACGAAGTGATGCTAACACACGGGTATGATACTAACAGACTGGGTATGATACTGACAGAAACATAATCGGGCCGACCATGGCTTTTAGGTTTCTGGCGTGCCCAAGGGTGCCCAACTCTTCACAGCGAATTGCGGCGTCTCAGACAGCTCGCCCGCCCGTGCCCCCAATATCGTTTGAGATGTTTTGGAGGCTATTTAAATGTATCTCCAAAAATGTATATAAAAAATTGTGTTTGGATGAAACACATGTTCGTATTTATTCTTACGTGACGACGTTTTGCTATGTGCCAGCATGGTACATATGCGATATACAAGGTGGCCACCAGGAAGACCGACGGATGCGGATTTCATCAGATATCTGGAACTCCTGCCTTCCAATCGGTATTAATTGAATACGATACTGTGTTATATATGAAATTTCTATTTGTTCTGGTGAATTCCGGTTTGCGGGTCTGGGCGGTAATATGTTGAGGCTAAATATAAATACAACTGGTTCACCATTCATACAATAAAACAGGTGGTGTCGCTTTCGTCAGACACATTGCAGATTAATTAGCAACGATATGCCTCAGTCTTAATAATACACAATGCAACGTAATGATATGCACTATAGTGCTGGTATTATGTTCAGTGTATTGATATCCAGCGTGGTTTATGCAATGGAACATCACGTAGCTTATCCAATAGCGAGAGGCGGTCGGGTTTTCGTAGCCTAGTGGTTAAAGCGTTCGCTCGTCACGCCGAAGATCCGGGTTCGATTCCCGACATGGTACAATGTGATATTGCTTGCATATTGCTAAAAGCGGCGTAAAACCATACTCACAACTATACAATAGCGCTTAACGTTGAAACTGTTCTGTTACATGTTGTACTTAAATCTGTCTCACAGTCCCTGAACCACATTGTTCTCCTTCTGCCCAGCCTTTTTTGTAATTGTATAGCTCCTTATAAAGCAAGCCTAGGTCTTACGCCGACGTGAAACGCCATCCCACCCTGGTTCCTTGTCAATTTAAATGTAGTTGCTTGTTTCTATCAAAGATATATATCAAGTTATATAAAGCGTAAGTCTAAAGATATACTTAATGTAATGATATACAGGGTATTAAATGTTATTCTATGCAAAGCACGTTGTGTAATGTTAATGTAATAGAATGTAATGTGGTTTATACACGGCATAGTTAATACATTATCATATAACGTTTGTACAATGTTATACGGCGTGCTATATGTTACTGTATACCATTTGTGGTGTTCTTGTGTTTGTTTCTAGTAACAAACTGGTCGGTTAATTTGACGACTTTAACTTGTGAACTGGCGATGACCTTCGGATCAACAATAGAAACCGGCGAGACAAGGCATGCTTATCAACCTCAAGAACATTTTGCTGTCATGTCATGTGTGCATGTACAATGAGCTGACGTGGTTTAACATGCCACTTTCACCCTTGTCAGTGGAACAGCTCAGGCGATAGATCTAGAGGAACGAGAATATATCTTAGCCCTGGGGTTCAGAGGGTAATAGGGTAAATTAGATTTAACAGATTTACGGCGAGGCAGCTTAAATCTGGACAGGGAGCCTTAAGTGACCGAGGTAGTAGACATTTCCGTGCAACAGGGAATATTGGTTTTATGCTGATAAAGCAGGCATGATAATAGTGGCGCATCGGAGATTCGAACCCACGAACAGAGGATACAGTTGAATGTTGAATTGTATGGAACACTTCGATACATTTAGCAATGGTATCGAAGTAAATATTGTTGTACAATTTTCGTTCATCGTAAGTAGGGTTTGTATATCCTTCTCCCTTTAAAATGCCGTCATTGTTTCCTCCCATGTATTTCATACGAATGACCAAAGCACCGCTGAATCATTGTAGTTGTAAGGCTATATGTTTGTGAATGAATTAACATCATCAACATGTAACAATCAACACGTAACAGGAGCCTTGAGGCTCCCCGTCATCCAATTCGCGTTGACCACAGAGAACGACGTCTGTGAGCTGAATATATGTACAAACCCGATGAGGAAATGGTGTTTACACACTGAACATTTAGCAAATAAGTGAATGAATAAAATGGGTTAACATTAACAACGCCAAAACATTCGGGGTATTTCTATTCAAATCACTAAAATATAGAGACTATGAAACCTGAACCTATACTTCAGACTCACTGTTACTCATTACTCAATGCAACTTGGAAAACAGTTCACGTTATGATTTGTACAGAACATTTAAGACTTTATTAGAGCCAGAAAAATATCTATCAGTTTTAACAAATAGTCACCTAAGAAATGTATATATTAAATACAGACTTGGCTTGTCAAAACTTATGATTAATTATGGACGAAATATATCACTTGAAAGAATACAAAGAATTTGTCCATTCTGTAACTCTGCTATAGAAGACGAAATACATTTTACCTTTGAATGTCCTTATTATGGAGAAATACGTACTAAATATATACCAGAATGTTTCTTATCTAAGACGAGTAGAATAGCGTTTGTTTCTATTTTGTCATCGAATGATGCCGATGTAATGTTTAAATTGTCTTTATTTGTAAAACATGGGATGGAACTACGAAATAACATGTTGAGTGGAAATTCAGAATTTTAATTACCTTACCCTAGAAAGTCCTCATGATTATCACCGATTGTTAAATGAATGTTATATTTTTATAATTTTTGTTGTATCTCCCAATCTGTAAATTCTCACCCACTGTATTTATCTGAACTTGTATATGGGCCGATGGCCTTTGATAATATAAACGTCTTTGACTTTGACTTGACTCACTGGTACAGACATGAAAATCAGGTGTTCGGAAAACATGGAAATCAAACGTGCATCAACGTGACCTAAAACTGATATGGGACCAGTAAGGTCAGTCAGGTGCGGTAAAAGTGAGTGAGTATGGTTTTACGCCGCTTTAAGCAATATTCCAGCAATATCACGGCGGAGGACACCAGGAATGGGCTTCACACATTGTACCTATGTCGGGAGTAGAACCCGGGTCTTCGGCGTGACGAGCGAACGCATTAACCACATTACCGCCCCAGGTGCGGTAAAAAAAGGTATTCATCGGATGTGGTAGAAGAAGTTTTTTCAAGTGGTTTGGTGTCAAAGAGCAACACCTATGGTCATAAGAGGACAAGAACACATTTTTTGCACTGACGTGGTCTAATAGACCAGCATATATAGTAAACAGTATAACAGAGATTAAAGTGATGACATGTTTCATACTGGTTATCTGGAACAGCTGGAACAGCTTCTATTTCTTTTTAACCAATAGAAACGAGTGAGCTTACCTCTGGTTATACACACTTACTTGAGTAATGACTGACGTTCCATTAAAAAATCGATATTCATTGATGACCATAGTTCCCAGTTGGACATACTTCTTAAATGATGTAATGGATCGTTAACTGCTTTAGTTCGAACGAGTGAAAGAACTGAAAAGCTATATAATTAAATTATGACTTTAATACGCATTGACGTCGACGAATTGTATTTTTTTCCTCCCATGCAATAAGTACAAAATGAATTACTAGATGTCCATCAAGTTTGAATTCTCGTCGGGGGTAACACTTCTTCAACACATATTGGAAAACATATTGGAAAACCACAATGTTCATTTCGTCGTTCCCGTAGAGGTTTCTGTCACAGTAAGCGTTACAAGCGCTTGGAAGTGCCCAGTAGGGGATAGGTGTACCATTAAGAAGTGACACGGCATATTGTAGCTATTTCTGTAGAGAAGTGACCATAGGCTTGCAGACAAGAGACAATTGAATTGTGTCCAGACTGAAGGGTTTCCTTAAAGCGCACGTGATCGTGAAAACCAAGTAGAGCTCTAGTTGACGCCCTTGTTTCATAAACAAAACCAATATTCAATGACATATATACTAGCTGATTTTTTTACAAGACATATGACATTTCTTATTAAATGTTACGTCAAACCTACAGTTACAAGATTATGTGTACATTTGCAGAAGCAAGGTTAGACAGACAATTTCAGTATGGAATCGTAATGTCAAAGACATGTTACTAGTTTTCTGTGACATCATAACTCTTCTGACCATGAACTTCAACCCTCGCCCAGTAATTGTTTATTATAACCTATGGGAAGCCAAGAAATAAATTATTTCAAACATTAGATAGAAGCAGTAGCACAATATCCACAGGTAAATAATTTTCAAAATGTTTCGGAGGTTATATAATGTAAATATTGCATTTTGGTTGCCGACTTTGGGCCTACGGTCTCTACGGACAGCTATATTGTGATTTTTTTAATTATACTGTCATTTTGTGAGTTATACTGTGATGTTGTGAGTTGTACTGACCGAATTTATTTACATATATCGGATGCAACTTTACTCAAACATTCACACGGGTCACTAATTATAATCCCTAGACCCATCCCTTGACCAAAACTAAAGGTTTACATTGCTAATGATGAATCATAAATAGAAATGTTGTACACTTTAATATCAGGAATATCACAGAGTTCTCATGCACGGATTTAAACATCATTAGTTTGCTCATTCATATCCTGCAACCAGTAAATCAGTATTTGGTCAATGACATGATGTACACAACTCATGTGCATTTCAGAGAGGCCTTGCATGGTGCAGCAATGCAGAAACATTATCTCTATCAAATCAGAAGTCGGGTCCTATTTCAGAGGCATCGTCCATCGCCCTAAACAGCCAGGGATTAAGACGATTGTACTGTCCACCGCGTATACCTCTCCCAAAGCTCCTGACAAAGTTGAACCTCGGCCAGTAGAAGGCTGTTGCCGTGGTGATTACGAGGACAAGAAGAAGAACTATTTGCTTCAGCATCATCGTGAGCCTTTTTTCTCCAACCTGAAAAAAAGCCATCAAAACATTAGTTGTGACTATCTTTGTATCTCTGTCACCTGTTATACAAGTTGTATCAAAAATACATATGTCTGACACATGGACATCCGTACTGACTTTCTGTATCTGCTTTGCATGTGTTATCATTTGATATTTCCTTCAATATGTAGATAGCATCAGATATAGCTAAAGACCTTTCAACATTGCTGAACTGTGACATTCTTTAGTAAGACATTGGTACCATGGATCCGTCTCTTGAAGTTGTAAGACCTTTTGCCTCTTGTGAATACTTTAAGCTGATATATATATTGTATATCAATTACAAAGTGATTTGATATTCAAGTATGACATTCAAATGCTTAGAACACGGACCAACAGTAGACAACGCCCAATAACGGTTGTAATAAATAAACTCTAATCACAGAACAGTTGTTAGATAGGTAGATGGATGGATGGATGGATGGACAGACGGAACGAACAGACAGACAGACAGACAGTTAGATAGACAGACAGACAGACAGACAGATAGATAGATAGATAGATAGATAGATAGATAGATAGATAGATAGATAGATAGATAGATAGATAGATAGACAGGTTCGGAAATAACTTAATGATAACTTATTTACAGTTATACTGTTATACTGGAATACTGAATGATACCGGTGTAGTCGCTAATGCGTGTATATTACTGTCGTAGTAATGTAATAGATTGTGCATGTTTTCAAACAAGGTATTTTAAGACACAAAATCGTAATCCAGGAGGAGTCGTGAGACGGTGGGGTGAAGATTTTTAAATGTCAATAGAAATTATATATGTGTACATGTAGATAAAACCTAATCCTTAAACAACAATCCACCAAACCACAATTGGCTCAAAGTGAAAATAAAAAATAAAATCCTTACTACTTACAGTTCAAACTTCCTAAAACTGTTAAAGAGCCCCGATCGTCGTTGGTGCAGAGAGGCCTGTACTTACATCTATGCATATTTTGGCTTCCATTTGTAAGATATTTCGACCAATCACTGGAGGTGTTAGTCTTGGGTTTTGGTGATGCAATACCCTAACGATCACGTTTCTGTCTGTTACCGTCGTTCACAGATGTCAATGATGTCATGGCAACCATGCTGGGCGTCATGTTCAAGTGAGAGTGTCAACCTGAGTCAGAGGAATAACGTCTGTGCATGTTGCCTATGGCTATTTCTTTAATGCATGTATATTATACGAATGTGACATAAACGAGTACAGTGTGCCTTTATTAACTTATGGCATATTGTCATATATGTATATTAATGGCTGTCACTTCTATTCGCGTTGTGTGTTCATATGCACGTTTATTATTACCTGTCAACTTGAAACGTACTTTTTATCAAGAATATTATGCGAAGTTACATTTCAAAACTTAGTTCAGAGGGTATAAGGGAAATATAATGCTTAAACATTTACGAAAAACAGATCAATATTGAGGAAAAAACGAAGAGCACTAATCTGACATATTTTCATTTTCGTAAAGATAATGTGACGATATGCACGGATACACAAACGTACTTGCATATCAACATGAGGTTTCCAATAACATTTATGTGCATATGTAACAGCCGGCTGTTTGACACACAGTCACGTATGGTAATTGCCTATGTCATGTGGCAGATGCTATGAGTCAGTAGATCTAACCGACACAGATTATTTTTTTACTTCTAACCCTTTATGTGATATTGTGCCTGTAGAGGTGTTTGTGTATAATCACTAAACAAACGGTGAAATATATATATCCAGAACCCTTCACTGTAGAGGGATGGGACTTTCACCGTTTGTTTATAATTAGGGATTATACACAAACGCCTCTACAGGCACAATGTCACATAAAGGGTTAGAAGTAAAAAATTACTGGAATACTATATATATATATCCAGAACCCTTCACTGTAGAGGGATGGGACTTTCACCGTTTGTTTATAATTAGGGATTATACACAAACACCTCTACAGGCACAATGTCACATAAAGGGTTAGAAGTAAAAAATTACTGGAATACTATATATATATATCCAGAACCCTTCACTGTAGAAGGATGGGACTTTCACCGTTTGTTTATAATTAGGGATTATACACAAACACCTCTACAGGCACAATATCACATAAAGGGTTAGAAGTAAAAAAATACTGGAATACTATATATATATATATATAACCAGAACCCTTCACTGTAGAGGGATGGGACTTTCACCGTTTGTTTATAATTAGTGATTATACACCCTTACATCGCCTATGGGTAATCAACTTAGTTTGATTCAAGGTGAAAATGCTTTCACGGTGTCATGAAGGGGAAATATTTAGTCTCAACACATGACAACACGCAGCCGTTAGAGCAGATCACATATCATGACATTAGATCACGTATCGTTAAAAGTCCAATATTGCTTCATTTCACATTCTCTCTGCATTTATCCTACCATATTACTCCCTACGTCTGACTGCTTTAAAAGGAAAATAAGACAAGTTTTATGCATACAGTTTGGGCACACAAAACCAAACCTTCGACGTGTAAGGTATTGATCCCTTCTTAGAATTTGATATAACTGAAAACTGGCTTTCGTTACCTGGTGCATATTGATGTTTGCCTAATGCTTAATCATAGCAATATGGCACCATGTTAATGAATTATATTAATACTGTTATGGCATGTGAGCAGCAACGGTATTTTAAGTCCAAATATTTGTATATTTTGTCAAGAATTCCTACCAAAAACAAAAAATGAAGGAATTACAATATCGCGTCATAGCAATATAAGCATTTTTTACGACTAAGAAACAACGCTAAAAACAGTATCCACATTCCATACAGTTTTAGTAAAGAATGCCTACATCAGACCAGTGGCCCGTTTAACAAAACATTCTCAAGGTTGAACTGTCGAAAGTCTTTGTTAAAGCGTTGATATTTACACTAAGATCAGCTTGTGGTACAGGTACAGGTCAGATAAAGCTGCATGTCAGCATTGGCTGTCAAATTCCTATCCATGTGCTTATTCTTCAGCTATATAGCCTTATTGTATACGGAGTAATCTGTATAGACCTGGTTATGGATTACCGACATGTTGTTCCGTTATATATACTGAACTGCAAAAGAAACGTCCCGATGGACAGATATATGAGAAACCTTATTTGTCCAAACACTGTAAACATACTTTGAAACATATTAAAAAGTTGAAACTTGGCAAAACTGATAATCAAGGTTGAAATTAAAGTGTCAAATGTCCTTAAAGTGAAACACAACACTAGTCTCTGAGAAAATGGCATTACAAGTCAGTATATCGTGTGTCCGTCATGTGCATTAATGACTGCCGTGTAACGTCGATACATGGAATGGATGAGGCGGTTGATGAAGGCCATAGGCACTTGAGCTCACACTCTGAGGAACGCCTGACGTCGGTCGGACGTCATTCAGCCGTTTTTGAATCTCGTCCCACAGGTGCTCAATGGGATTTAAATCGGGACTGAGGGCAGGCCACTGCATGGTTCTGATGCCATTCTGCTGGAGGAAGTTTCTTGTTGCTCTCGCAGTGTGGGCACGGGCGTTATCATGCTGCAACTTGTGGTTGCGGAGACTTGATCAATGTATCGAGCTGCTGTGACATCATTGCCTCTCCCTGGACCGATGTTCCTGAAGACCACAGGACCGACCCTCTGTACAAGACCAATTCCACACCACACCCTGATGCTCGGACCACCCCAGGATTCTCTCTCAACAAAACAAACATCCGAATAACGTTCCCCACGACGTCGCCAGACTCTCTCTCTCTCTCTCTCTCTCTCTGCCATCTGCTGTTGAAATACAGTAACGGCTCTCGTCTGAGAAGAGGACTCTTCAGCACTGTTGGTGGCGCCAATGCTGGTGCTGTGTTGCCCACTGAAGACGGTCCCGGCGATGACGTGGTGTCAGAATGGGTCCTCCGTGTGGCCTGTGACAGTGGAAGTGTCTGCTCGTCAATCGTCGACGCACGGTGTCCGCACTAATGTGTCGCTGGTGTGTCCACATGGTCTGTCGAGCAGTTTCCGCAGCAGTAACAAAGTGATCTTGAAGATGCTGTCGCACAATCTGACGATCCTGACGCCGGGTGCTGACCCTTAGTCTTCCACTACGTGGTCGGTCATCTGTAATGTTGGTGGGCTGGTACCGTTGCTGGAGCCTGGTATTTGGTCCTTACGTGGAATTGAAACGCATTTGCTACTTGCCGGGCGGATTGTCCAGCTTGCAATCGTCTAAGGGCTTGGTGTCGCTGATTTCTTGTCAATTTTAGCATGTGGTAGCAATTCATTAACGATCAAATGTTATCCGATCTGGGTGGATATTTATAGGGCAAGAAATGGAGGAACGCATGTGCATTTCAATTTGCACGGAACTCACGTGCATCGGGTTGGCATGGCCGTTGCCGTGATGCGTTTTGGCGATCGGTTTTATTGTCATCTGCTTTGTTTTTTTATCATCAAATTTCATTTTTCCGGACAGGGTAATGTTAAATTTTAGAAACTTTGACAAAAATAACCCAGATATTTAAATGACAACTTTTCATGCAATGTAACTTGGGGTGACGTTTCTTGTACGGTTCAGTATATTAGCAATGCCATGAGGAACGAATGCACACTCCGGCGCAGTGGTTACTAAGCATACCACCACTGCCACAGGCTGACCTGTATATCAAGTGACCAGACTGTCCTCTTGTTTGTAAACAAACGCGCTCATTCTGAACAGATTAGCCTAACGGAAGCATTTCGGGGCATTTCGGGGCGCTTTACATGTTGTTTTGCTTAATTATATATCTGTGCTACTACAACTGCGACAGTGAAGTGCATGAAATATATTATTTATTCATCAAAGTGACGATATCGTTCGCTATCCATACAGCATCGATGACAGCACATCGAAGAAGCCGTACAACCAATGTAAAGAAAGGATAACTACGGAAATGGAAATATCTAAATATGTATTCATATACATTTATTGCACAACTGACAAGCTGCGTTAGAGACAGGCAACATATATATCAGGTCTTGACTATTATATAATCACTGACGTTTAATGCCAGGTATCTTTCTTTGACGTAAGAAAACAGTAATATCGACATGCAATTATTAATGTGGACCAACAACTTCACCGGCATTGGTTACAATCAAGATGCGCACTAACTTTGCGATCCTTGAGCGGATTGACATATCATTTCCCCTCATCATCACTTTGTTTGTTCTTGAGTGTGTGTTATAAACACTTTGAAATTCACCGGCAGGTCTATTACACCGTGCCTTTATATCTTTGAGTTGCAACAATGCATGAACAATATCTGTAACACTGTACTTTGAAATCAATAATCGGGCCCAACATCGTCACCGGCATCGTCGTAACCTCCGTAGCCGTAGCCTCGGAACATCCATGGGTTGAAGTAATTGTACCTTCTTCTGAAGCCGTAGAACCTTGCCCAGTTGAATGCTGTCGCCATGGTGATGAGGAGAATGAGTAGAACGATCACTTGCTTCAGCATCATTTCGAGGTCCTATGGAGGCTGAAAAGGTAACATGGGAATACCAGGTGTTTCATCAAAAGGGCATGCTTCTCAAGTTGTTATTTGAGATTATTATATTCTTTCTATAGTCCAGTAGGCGTACATACCGACACATCACATAAAAATGTCCAGTTGGCATACATACTCACACATCACATACTATAGTCCAAAAGGCATACCTAGTACTCATACATCACATACTATAGTCCAATAGGCATAAATGCTGATACATTATATACTATAGTCCAGTAGGCATACGCATTGGACAGTCACATACTATTATCTACATATTTAAACACCCCATACTGCAGTCAAGAAGGAATATATTTGATATACACTATACTCTAGTGAAGAAGACATACATAGTAATATTTCACGTACTTCAGTTTGATAGACATACATATTGGTTTGTCACATTCTATTGTCCAGTAGGCATACAAATTTATATATACCATAGTATAGTCCAGTTGGCATACATATTAGTACATCGCATTCATGTACTACAGTCAAACAGGCCAACACGCTGATGTATGTTATATTATAGTAACGTAGGCAATCAT